GGAGCCCCTGATTTTCATGCCTTTGAAGTTTCTCTCGAGGGCTGTGTTCTTCCATCCCTAATGGGCCTCCCTAAATATCTATGGGAAGCATCAGCCAGGTGGAAAGGGCTGCTCTTGGACACTGTTTCTGCCAGGGACATGTGGACGACAGCTGGCATGGAATAAAAAGAATAGCATGTCATTATTAAAGCATTCTCTTTGCCCTCTCCCTAGACACTTACACCTTCTTTTCTAGCCATGGCTTACCATAATTTCCTGGATATTTAGCGATGCTCTTAAGAAGCAATAAACAACCTCATCCAATATCCAGCAACACACCCTTTTACCTCTTACATAATTTCTCCATTTGTTTATGAAGGTTTTATTACTAGGCTGTGAGCTGTTGGAGAGAAAATATTTCCGTGGTGGAATAAGCAGGCTCGATTGCTGATTGACTAACAGATGATGGAGAAGGGGTGTCTAAGTCGATTTCCAAGGGTCTGGCCTGAGAAAATCGATGGAGGGCAGCACTGGCTCAGGAAATATGGAAGGGAAAACACATCAGGAGAGCAAGGAGGAAGGTGTGGTTTTGCCCCTCATGAACCCGTGGGATGTTCCAAAAGGAAATCTCAGAGGCACAGAGACAGATCTGAAGCTTCAGAGGCAGAGCTGGCGGGGGGACACAGATTTGGGAGCACGTAGGTGGTCATGGAGGCCATGGGAACGGATGAGAACACCCAGGGAGAATGTGTAGCGCTAGCCACATGCTCTTCTACTCCTTTTTAAACGATTATCCTAGAGCAGGGGTTAGCAATCTATGGCCTGTGGGCCAAATCGGGCCTGTGGCCTGAACACATGCCTGTTTGTTTATGTACTGTCATTGACGGCTCTGCTGGAGGACAGAGCGGGAGAGTGGTGGCCATAGACGCTGTATGACCGGTAAGGCGGGGAAATAGTTACCACTCGGCCTTTTACAGAAGTGCTAATCCCTGACCTAGAGGTTACAGGAAGTACCCGTGCTTTATTAAATTTAATATCAGTAAGGCAGTTAAGTCCGTTGTCAGTTCATTGCTGCTCTTTCGCAGCTAATGGATCTGCTTGTTCTCTTGCTCCCAAATTTGCCTCTGCCTTTGGTTCTTATCAGTGTTATTATGATGGGCCTAGGTATAGCTTTCATTAAATTTATCTTATTTGGATTTTGTAGAAATTCTTTTTTTTTTAAAATAGTATGTCAGTATTAAAGCATTCTCTTTGCCCTCTCCCCCTAGACACTTATACCTTCTTTTCTAATCCTAAATGACAATAACTGGGGGGGAACGCATGGAGCCCAATGTGGGGCTTGAACTCACCACACTGAGATCAAGACCTGAGCTGAGATCAAGAGTGGGATGCTTAACCAGTTAAGCCACACGGGAGCCCATTATAGAAGTTCTTGGAACATGTCACTTAATGTCCTTAAATGATCTTGGAAATAAAGTAATTATACTTTTGAATAATATTTCTGCCTGTTGTCTGTCTCCTCTTCTTTTAGAACCCCAATTACAGGGATGTTCAATTGTGTTAGTATGCCCCGCATTTCTTTTACGCCCTTGTCTGGATTTTCTCTTCCTTTTCATCTCTATGTTTTAGCATAGGTATTTTATACTGACCTATCTTTCAGTTCCCTAATTTCCATCTGCTCATTTTTTAGTAGATTCCAAGTTTTTGCTGAAAATTGCTATCTTATTATCTATTGATCACAGCTCTCTTACAGTCTGGATGTGGCACCTCCAAAATCTAGACCTCCTGTAGGTCTGTTTCTAGATCTTGTTCTCCTTCCCTCCTCCCTCTTCCTCCCTTCCCCCTCTCATTCTCTCTCTCTTTCTCCCTCCTTCTCTCTCCCTCCCTCTCCTCCCTTCCCTCTTGTTTTTCTTGTTTCTGGGAATGCCTGCTGTTTTGTTGTTTGTTTGGGCTGAATACTAACATTAGGTATGAAGAATCCTACACATTTTGAGTGTACAATATGAGTCTTTGGGTAATATTAGCTTTTTTAGAGAGGACTTACTTTTCTTTGGGGTAGGCTTTTAGGATAGAGATGAATTATCTTAATTTTGTCTGCATGTGAGTTTATTTGAGACTGCTCCATGCTGATGCAAGCAGTGGTCAATTTCTGGTCACCTCTGTTTCCCAAGGCTCACCTCCGTGGTGAGCCACAATTCCAATTCCTTTGTCTCTACATAGATTAGACTGCTCAGAATTCTACTTAATATCTCCATCTTTTTGTTGCTATGTCCTGCTTAGCTTTCTGGTGGACCAGAGTTTATGGGTCTGCAGGTGCTTTGAGGAAGAATGCACTAGAGACTTCCAGCTCACTTCTCAATGCCTTCCTTTCCTCTGGTTTTTAGTGCTTCGGGTCCTTACTGCCTTGGTAGCTCTGTTATCATCAAACCATAGCTGAAAGTGCAGATCACTTAGTTGTTTTTTTAAACACAAAAGAAATATATGTTTGCTCTATCAAATTAAATAATACAGACATATACCAGGAACAGTTTAATAAATCCCCGTTCCCAATCTGTCTCCTTTATTGAAGTAACCAGTGTTAAGGTCTGCTGAGTATCCTTCCATTTTTTTTTTTTTATACTCACATATACCAATATAGTGGTTGCCAAAGACAATTAGCTTGGGTTTGTTTTTTATTTATTTTATTTTTTAAAGATTTTATTTATTTATTTGACAGACAGAGATCACAAGTAGGCAGAGAGGCAGGCAGAGAGAGAGGAAGGGAAGCAGGCTCCCTGCTGGGCAGAGAGCCCGATGTGGGGCTCAATCCCAGGACCCTGGGCTCATGACCTGAGCCAAAGGCAGAGGCTCAACCCACTGAGCCACCCAGGCACCCCTTGGGTTTGTTTTTTAAAAATTGTATCATGCATACACGATTCTGCAATTTGCTTTTTACTAAGAACTGCAACAGTGCATACAAATACATAAGTGCATAATATTCCATACTATATATATGTCATATTTATTAAATTGTTCTCCTGTTGCTAGAGATTCAAATGGTTTCTATTTTTTTCTAACCACATAAATACATTGCTACTTTCTCAATTTTTGCCCGTCTACTAGGTGAAATATGTATTTGATTTTACTCCAAGATATTTAGAGAATTTTAAAAAAATGTTTATTGGCCATGTGCACATACTCCTTCGAAAATTCTTGTGTCTATCCTTTGCCCTTTTTCCTACTGTTATCAAATTTGTAAGACTACTCAATATAATTCATGATATAAACCCCTCATTCATCACATATGTTGCAAATATTTTCCCAAAGCCTGTTTGCCTTTTAAAATGTTACTTATGGTATCTTTTCTGATCTGAAAGTTTTAACTTTTACATGCATAAAATGCCCATGTTTTTGTTATGACTTCTAGACCTTGTTTTAAGGCTTCCCCACTGGAAGCTTAAACAAATGTTTTCCTAAAGTTGATTTCCTAAAATTTTATATTCTACATTTAGGTTTTTAATTTATCTAGAACTTTTTTTGTACATGGTATGCTTTATGAGTCTAACCTCGGATGCCAATTCTGTCAGTGTAACTTATCAAATAAACTACCCTTTTCCACTTGGTCAAATATTAAGACTGGTAACTACTTGAACCAATTTTGGATTCTGTTTCTTTGATCCCTTTGTCTATTATTGTGCCAAGCCCATTATTTTTTTTTTACTTATTTATCTATGTTAAATAAACCATCTTTTAGAGCAAGTTTAAGTTCACAGCCAAACTGGGAATAAAGTACAGAGAGTTCCCATAAACTCTCTGTCCCCATACTTTGTATTTTTTATTACATTAGATATAAAGCAAATTGTTTTATCACCCATCCATCTTTCTGTTAGAATTTACTTGCGTACTCTCAGCTATTCCTCCACTGATTTTTAAAATCATCACATATAATCATCATATAAACTAGGATTCTGGATGACATTTCATTAAATATGTAAATTAATTTGGGAAGGGCAGGCACTGTATGACATTCTAGCATTCTTAATTTTTAAAATTTGTTAAAGATTTATTTATTTATTTATTTATTTATTTGAGATTGTGTGCGAGACCGTGCAACCATGGGTGGGGAGAGGGGCAGAGAGGGAGAAGGAGAGAAGGAGAGAAGCAGACTCCCCACTGAGCCAGGAGCTGGATGAGGAGATTAAGGGGGGGCTCAATCTCACAACCCTGAGATCATGACCCCAGCAGAAATCAAGGAAATTAAGAATCAATTACTTAACCAATTGAGCTACCCAGATGCCCCTCTATCATTCTTAGTCAGTTGTCACTACACTTAGACTTTTTTCACATTTTAATAAGGATTCATAGTTAGTTCTTTAGGTCTTTTGCCTTTCTTGTGAATTTTACTTATAGGCATTTTACAGTTTGATTTTTTATTAGAAAGTGGGATTTCCTCCCTCCTGACATCCAAATTTCTGTTGATTAAAAGTAAAACTACTAATTTTTGTACATTAATTTTGTGTCCAGTTACCTTATTCAATTTTCTTTTCTTTCTTTTCTTTTTTTTGGCATCTGAAGGCATGCCTAGCACTAGTGTGTGCTAGTTTGGGGGAGGGTGGGGAGAAGAGGGAGAGGGAAAGAGGGACTCTCAAGTGGGGTTCCTTCTCATGACCCTGAAATCATGACCTCAGCAGAAATCAAGAGTCAGATGTTTAACTGAGTCACCCAGGCACCCCACCTTATTCCATTATTTTAATAACAACAAGAACTACCAATGGGCCAGGCATTATTCTGTTTTTTTATGTATATTAACTCACTTAATCCTCAATATTTCTAAAAGATAGGTACTATTATATCAGTTTTACAGATGATGAAACTGAGACCTAAGGTAGAATATCTTAGTCTTTCTAGGAAAACAATATTCTAATCCTAAAAGGAAAATTTTACTATTTACCAATATTTAAAGTAATTGTTTTATTTTATTTCCTTATCATATTGGCTAAATCTTATAAAACAATGTGGACTCACAGAAGAAATAACAGGCATTTTTCCTTCTTCCTGATTTTAATAGAACTGATATGAACAGAAATTAAAGTAAACCCAAATGTACACTGGTAATTTGATAAAGAATTATGTGTGCAAATAATGATATAATAATAATAATAATAATAATGGAATAAAATTTTAAAAAATTAAAAGATTTTTATGTGCAAGTAAGAAACCCTTGGTCAATCCCACACCCTGTTAGGATTTTTTCCCTCCATAGAATACCCACCCAACAGCAGTTTAAGCCATAAGAAGTCCAAAAGAAAGTTATCTCAGGGTAATTTAGCAGCTCATTAAAAATGAGTCATTAAAAATGGGAGAACTTCCTGAAATTTCTGTTCAACTGTCCCTGGCATGTTTGACTTTTCCCAGGATGTTTGTAACTTAAGGATCATGAGATGGTAGTCAAAGGTCCACAGCTGGTAAGAGGGTTAAATTCAGGACTACCTGTTCCATTCTGTTAGGGGAGAAAAAGTTGTCACTTTGCCAAACTGAGTGTCAGGGTTGCACTGGGTTTCACGAGAGCTCCTGTAGCCAGAAGGTGGCCATTGTGGGCCTTTCTGGATCATTGCCTTTGGACATTAGTTATGTCTCTGAGGTTCAGAGGCTAAGTTCAGATGGAGAACATGTTTCTGTTATGATAAAGAGTGAAAGGGAAGGAAATCCTCCCATTTGCCACAACGTAGATGAACCTGGAGGGCATTACGCTAAGTGAAATAAGCCAGACACAAGGGCAAATACTGTATGACCTCACTAATATGTAGAATCTAAAAAAGTGGACCTCTGGGAGCCTGGAGTAGAATGGCGGCTGCTGGGAGTCGGTACAACCTCAGTTATAAGAAGAGTAAGTTCTGGGGATCTGATGTCCAGCACAGTGACTACAGTAAATAACACTGTATTGTTTGCTTCTTGAAATTTGCTGAGAGTAGATCCTAAGTGTTCTCCCCACTGGAAAACATATACATACATTGAGTCATCACACTGCACACCTTAAAATTACATTGTACAAAGTAAATATATACAATTTCTATTTGTATACATTTATTACATTGTACATACATTGAGTCATCACACTGCACACCTTAAAATTACATTGTACAAAGTAAATATATACAATTTCTATTTGTCGATTCTACCTCAATAAAGCTGCCCCCCCATTTTTTTTTCTTTTTTCTTTAACGAAAAGAGCACAGTTGAGACTCCCAGAAACAGGCTGAGGCTCTAAGGAGACTCCCCCGAGGACAGACTGAAGGCAAGAACCAGACGGAGTGAAAGCGGCAGCGGCGAGGTGAGCTGGGCGCGCGCTGCGGGGCAGTGACGCCGGTGATGGGCCGGGGTGGCCAGAGCGAAAGGCAGTCACCGGGGACCTGAGTGAGCAGCGGTCCAGCTGCCACGACAGCAGCTTCACGGGTGAGGGGAGGGCGAGGATCCGTCTGGCCCCTGATGGCGCGATTTATTTACTGAAAGTCACGGACACACGGCGGCCTTCCAGGCGGAGACCCGCAAGGTTCTCCTCCCGGCGGACGCGGGTCAGAGCCCACGGTGGGGGAGTGGGAGTGGGATGTCCATCAACAAGCAAACTCCGCCGCCTTCTTGTCAAACTTCAGATGAACCTAAGTGGTGGGACAAGAGCTCAAGCCAGAGGAAAGGCCGGAGAGTGGCCGTGGCTGTGGTGGGGCCGTGGTGGTGGCCGTGAAGGTGGGCTCCTGAGGGTGGGGGGTGGAGGGGAGCACGCAGAAGAGCAACGAATTCCAAGGCGTGGCGGGCCGGCCTGGCGCAGGCTGGAGGACAGGAGGGGTCATCCGGGCCCCTGGGGTCACCAGCCTGGAGTCCCCCCGGGGGGGCGAGGGCGCAGGCTTGATCTCGGCTTCTCTAAATCCTTCCTGCCTGAGACACCAGGCTCTCCTCCCCCCGGGGCGAGCCGTCCTCTCCTTCTGCCGGGGCGCCCTTGCCCACCTGCCAGGTGCTTAGCCTACAGCATGGTTGTCTGCCTACAGTTGGGAAGTCAACAGAGCTAAAAATAGCAGAGCCTGGGATGGAGCACAGTGATGAATCTGCTAAATTCTACCGAGAGCCGAGAGCCAGGAGCGGCAGGGAGAGAGGCCTGGAGCGCCCCGGGGCGGTCTCTTCCCTGAGAAACCATCACAAGACTTCTGGTCTGGATCTGTGGATTATTCTGCCTTTGTGCTTCTTTCTGGGAAGAAAGCAACTCCTGCCTGGTTTGCTTCTCAGGATGGCAACTGCACCAGCTGTTGTAACAGCGTTTTCCTCGCTGATGCTGATGAAAAAAAGAGAGAGAAGAAAAACAATGATATTTACCTAATTATGGGGACACTATTTGTGGTTGGGAAATTACACATGCAGGAAGATATGAGGAAAAATCACCCAAATATCACCACCTAGAGATAACTATTATTAAGGTTTTTAGTTTTCTATAACTATAGTTAATAATATATTTGGGTCTACCTGAGGTCATTTGGGAGCTACAGTTTTGTATCCTAATTTTAAATTTAGCATTAGTTAGCAATCACTTTCCCACTGACAGTATCCTCTGTAGGTCCCCAGACTGGGCTCTAGGCTCCAGCCATACCAAGGGAAATAAGGCAGCCAGAGGCTGGGGTGGGCAAATGCCAAAATTATGTCCCATGGGGTTGTTTTCTGAGGTAAACAACCGTGGTGTTACAACCTTGGTAGTTTCCTGACTTTCTTCCCCAATTCATAAGACGATGTCGCCGGAAGAGGACAGGAGAGACTCAGAGACGCAGAGACCAGCTTTTAGAGCAGAGGATTTTCTTTGGTGGGGAGCTGTCAGACTTGTGCAATGCGTGATGCATTGCCGAGGAACGTGCACACACACACCCACACAAATGGCATTTAAAAAAATTTCTGACCACCCATATCGCGGCACACATCCTGATTTTTGCCCTCGTGACTAGGCCTTTCTAACCAGAGAAGCTGGCCGATTTATAGTCATGCGAGGTGAGGAGAGCTGTCTTCAGCGAGGACCCTGTCAGAAGGAACCTTTTCTCCGCCTGACTTGGAAGCCGTAGACTTCGGCCGCCTCCTTCTCTTAGTCCCACACGAGCCTCTTACTGGTATTTGTAATGAGTTCAGCCAATGGAACATTTTAATCAGCTTCTGTATTCTTACAATTTGGGTGTCTTTGTTATCTTTGTCATTCTTACTGTGGCAAGGCTAAAGCAGGAGCCAAACATAAACCCAGCCCACTTCTTGACGGGCCCCAGTCATAGCATGTGTGTGACTTTATTGTCCTTTCTTACTTATCTGAGTGCGGAGGGTCTCGTGAAGAACCGTTATCACACAAGGAGCAGGCACTGTCAGCTGCCCGCCCAACAGTCATTTCCTCCTTCTTCAGCGTTGACCACAGTAAGAAGGAAAGAGGAAAAAAAAAAAAAAAGCACTGAAAAGGTAGGAATAAAAAGGCTGAATAAATACAAGTTGGGACTGGTCGAAGTCAGTCGTGGGTATCTTGAACCCCTTTGCTAGGGGTTCAATCTTGAACTCACTTTTCAGCCTGCCTTGCTGTTTGAGACAGCCACGTGATTCAGTTCCCATGATGGGCACAGGAAAAAATCTGGGAAAATACCTCCTTCCTGGAGAATAAGAAGGGTGTTTTTCCTTTGCCCCCTTTTTCTCATCTTTTGAATGTAGTATGAAGACCTAGTGCCTACAGCTGTGACAGCCTAGCCATCTGGTGACAGTGAGGTGACAGCACGAGGGTGAAAAGCCCCCAGGCTCAAGATGCTGATGTTGAAGTGTGAAAAGGAACTAGATCCTGGATGACATTTTTGAGTTACCAGTCAACCCTAGAATTGCCCACTTTGGGAATCTTTCCTAAAAAGTAAGAAGATTTCTCATGGTTTAAGGCACTCTTTCTTGCAGGTGAACCTATCCTAATTGATACATGCCAAGGATGGCCAGTGCATGAGAGGCTCAACTTTTCTGAAAGGCGGTGTCAATATTGTAGTAACTGCTAAATTACAAACCACAAATTCAGTGTCAGGAGTTGACCAGTTGGGTGAATAAGATGCATTTTTCTTTCAACTGGTGGAAGCTGATCCTTCCAGAAGATGGACAGATTAAGATGAGGGAGTGAGCAAAAGGAATCATCCGGAATCTGTATCCCATAATCCTTGAGCACAGTTAACGTGGCATACTTTTTTATACACATTTTTAAAAGATTTCATTTTTATTTATTTGAGAGAGACAGAGAGCAGGAGACAGCACATGCAGGGGGAGTGGCAGGCAGAAGGAGAGGAAGAAGCAGACTCCCTGCTGAGCCAGGAAGCCTGATGCCGGACTTGACCCCAGGACCCCAGGATCATGACCTGAGCTGAAGGCAGATGCCCAACTGACTGAGCTACCCAGGTGCCCCACTCTTTTTCTTAAAAGATTTTATTCAGTTATGAGAGAGAGAGTACAAGTGACAGCACAAGCAGGGGGAGCAGCAGAGGGAATGGGAGAAGAAGATCCCCACTGAGCAGGGAACCCCACATGGGGCTCGATCTCAGGAGCCTGAGATCATGACCTGAGCCGAAGAAGGCAGCCACTTAACTGACTGGGCCACCCAGGCACCCTGTGGCATACTCCTTAGGCTTCTCTTAAGCCTGAAACATGTTTTTGGTTTTTTTTTTAAAGATTTTATTTATTTATTTGTCAGAGAGAGAGAGAGAGAGAAAAACGCTGCACAAGTAGGCAGGGTGGCAGGCAGAGGCAGAGAGAGAAGCAGGCTCCCTGCTGAGTAAGAAGCCCAATGTGGGACTCGATCTCAGGACCCTGGGATCATGACCTGAGCTGAAGGCAGATGCTTAACCGACTGAGCCACCCAGGCATCCCTATGTATGTTTTTCACAACACCTAATAGAGAAAAGTGAACCTACATAGTATAGAAACAGGGAGTCATACTCACAAATAGAGACCTCTCAGAGCATTTGGTGAGCACTAAGGAAGAGCCTGAGATATGCCTTGAGCATGCGTTCACCCTGGAGCTGATGGTAGAGAGTAATGCAAATTCAGGATCAAATGAAATTAGAAATACCACTTGATTTCAGCTACTTTATAAGGAAACATTTCAGTTTCCATCGGTTTTTAGTGAGTGGTTATTCACTTTGCAAATTCATTCACTGATGGGTTTTAAGATTTTATTTATTTATTTGAAAGAGAGATAGAGATCACAAGTAGGCAGAGCAGCAGGCAGAGAGAGAGAGGGGGAAGCGGGCTCCCGGCTGAGCAGAGAGCTCAATAAGGGGCTCGATCCCAGGACCCTGAGACCATACATAACCTGAGCTGAAGGCAGAGGCTTAGCCCACTGAGCCACCCAGGTGCCCCTCACTGACAGTTTTAAATGGTGATCGGCCTCACAGCATCTAAATTGTTGTTGGGTCTATACAAAAACTGAATTATGGAATCTCTTCAGGAATATGGTGTTAAGGAAAGTTCCTGAACTTTGAAGTTGGACCAACAAGAATTCAAATTTTCTGCTTTTAACTAGATGTGACCTTGGATATAATCCTTTACTCCTTTGAGCCTCATTTCTTAAATGAGGATAATAAGGCCCATTGCAAAAGACTGTTCGGTCATTTAAGCGAAGAATGTAAAGTACAGATAATATGTACAGATAAATGGAAAGTACAACACATAGCAGGTGCTGATAACTAGTAGCTTCTCTGTCAGTTACGGTCTAATAGGAAATAGATGGAATATGCAATTTAGCATGTTTTAACACTTTTTTCCCCCTGACAAATGGATTTATTTCCAAAGGTGGGCAGTACGTAGGGGAACCACATCTAGGAAAAATTCCCAGGTTAAACAAACGAAGCCGCTGTTCAAATTTAATTCACAAGGGTGTGTTTGTCACCTCATTGTTGTCTTAGCGAAAACCAGGAAACAACCCAGATGTCTGAGTATAAGGCATTGATTACATTCGTACAGCTGAATACCATAAAACCAATAAAAATAGCATTGTAAAAGTAAATGTATTGACACCAAATATATTAGCAATATAGTGCTAAGTAGAAGAACATATTGAAAGATATTATGGAGAGCAGAATCTATTTTGTTAAAATTGTATTTATAATCTCAATTTATATCTAGATATTATTTAAAACCAGACCTTTAAGATTCCCTTGG